CCAATTCCGTCTGTGTAGGCAAGTCACTCTACGGAGAAGCACTAACAAACTTTCAGAAATTCAGGAAGTTATGTGGAATATTGGAGTGCATCAGTATTCACTATCAGCATGTTCGGTTACAGTTTCGTGTTTTGATAACCAATTGATTACAATTATTTGCCACTTCGGACTAATTGGTTTTTATTTCATTTTTTGGAGTGTTACTTACTTACGTAACGTTTTTGTATAAAATTCAGCAGAGATGTAACCTCTGAAATAAGTAAATATCTAAAATATCTAATTAGAGCATCTAAAACATCGAGTCATATTATATATTTCAGGTTTAAAACTGTCAAATGTTTAATAGTTCAGAAAATACTTAATAGTTTTGCTAAATTAGCAATTAAATTGTGTTATAGCGAATGTATACTTTGCAAGGTGAGAAAGTACGTCTATGATTTCTTTTCAAAGTATTGACTACAAAAATAAGTACAATATTCGAGCTGAGTTAACGGGCTTTCATAAGATGTTCTTTAGAGCGGACTCACAAAAGGCTTTAAGTGGTATCGGCGGCCATTCAGCTTATAATTAGTCGAGAGTATTCGAGATCATAATGATGACGCTCTAATTATGTCTTACATCCGCTTCTGGCATGTTTTCACCGTTTCCCCAGTGTGGATTGTGGGGCATGGGACATACTGTGGTTTGGTCGAACGAAACCATATATGTTATTCGAATTTCCAATTCAAAACTAACGTTAATCACTATGATTTTTTTATAATAAGGAGGCCAGACAAGCATCGGGTTCACCCCAGTCTATAGCATCTAAACAAAATACGCTGTCGACCTATTTTGGTTGTGGATATTCAGAAGTCCACAGACTGGAACCGAAACGCAATTAATCTTCACGACTTTTTTATCTGTGGACGGTGGTTCGTGACCCCGGGGGTAATTTCTATATCCAAATTTCCAGACGACGTCCAACATGTTACAGAATAATTAGAAACATGATGGACCCGGTGGGGATCGACCCACGACCCGTTGATCCATGCATTGCTACCAATAGACCAACGACCCCGGTAAACGAAAGATTGCAGAATGTTTAAATTACATTGGCAATATCCACTAGACATTAAATAGAGAATGGATTTTTGTTAGTAACTTAGAACATCGATATTTTGACATTGAATTATTCTGTTAAATTGTGGCCGTATGAAGTGCCAACTATTTTTCTTACCGTTATCAAGACAATTTCGTATAAAATCGTTACTGTTTATATACTTCATTATCATTTTAAATCAGAAGGTAGTCTGAAACAAGCCAGCATCGGCACAGCTGTTCTGAAACTTTTTAACATCGCATGTTTTCACACATTGGCTATATTTCCTCGTTTATTCCTGACGCGTATATGTAAAATAGGGTTGTACAAGTTTAAAATACTAAAAAGACTGCTGTATACATATTGTGATAAATTCATTTTCAAGTCCTAAGTTATTTAAATAGTTAAGTATAGATATAATAAAATTGTATTATACTATTTACGAAAATCATATTTCATTCGTAGCAATCAGATCCAACTTTACTTTTATTGGAGGACTTTTAATATTTTAAAATGTGAAATATAGTAGTAATAGTATTGAAAAAATAGTTATCTGTCCCCCGTTAGGTGTTTTACTTCATTGTGGACTTCTCTCAAGCAATACAAAAAATGCATAATCATTTGGGACCATCTTTACGAAGAAAGCCGGTTGGTAGGCCTACCGGTCTAACACGACTGCACTTTCAGACTGCTTAAGGTCTTAACTTCACAGTTTGATAAATAAACGAATCGAATAAGATAAAACGAAATCTTTTAGAAGAACAAACAAAAGATACATATTATTATCACATTTTAATAATTATTTTATTACATAATAACTATTAAGAACATTACTTATTAAGTAATTATAAACAAACGTTTATTGTTAGACGTAATTACATTATTAAAAATAACTAAGATTCATTGTTATAAAAATAATATTAAATAGTATATATCGCTTCGTTGCTTAAGTACCGCCATTATTAAAAAGGAAAGTTTAATATTTTAGTAATTTTTAATCACTACAAAAATACATTACTTGTATGTATGTTAACACGATAAAATTTTGAAAATTAAAAATGGCTGTTTCCCGGTCAAACAAGCGATATATGTAGCGATATATAAATAAACTATTGTAACGTGTTAAATCCTTCATGACTTCAATGGAGCCAATTCTGGCGCTGATGATACTGGCGTGATCGTCTCTGACGTGGATAAAGGCTGGAACTTCTGCGGCTGAAGATAGCCGTACCGTGATGCTAAAGTCAGTAAGAGTACTGCTGATATGATGAAAGACACCAACTGGAATATGTAAGAAAATCTTTTATAAGAAAAAAAATGAACTATTTAAATTGCTTGACTCCGAAGTTATGACCAAGTAGGGACCTGCTGTGCTTCACTACAAATTTAGTTAATGCCTGCAGTTGAGTCATGGTGATATCTACGACTTTTTTTATGTAGGTATAAGATACCTACTTGTTTAATTCATATTAGACTGATACTAGATGAAAATTTTCACTTTAATAATGATGAATTGTAAAAGCTGATAGTCATTTTCATGGACATATATAACAATTTACTTAATATTTTGTTATTTCAAACTTGATGGATATTTTCAACTTGAAACATAAACAAAACTCGAATGATAAAAGAAAAATAGTAAAAAATACGCCCTTACTATAACAGTTTTAGGGATACTTTTACGACCCAAACCTTATGTGCCTTTAATATCAAACGAAAAAGTTTACCCCTTTTAAAAATAGCATAAGTCCCAGATTATTGCTTATAAAAAGCTTAAGGCGTTACGAAAAAGCGATAACTGTTATTGATTGTAAGTTTCTCGTTTTTACCTACATTTTTAAACTACTTAGCTAACTATTAGAACTCCTTTATTTATTCACTTGTTTATTAATTCAACAACGTGCAATTACCTTAAATACCAATAAATCTTAACCTTGTTTCGATGTTGAAAATATATCTTTCGCATGCAGCCAAAACAAAGAATATAAGAAAAGCAAATAAATAAATTTTAAATTAAAACAACAATTTATAAAAATATTTTTTCCCTTATTTATTAGTTACAAAATACGTCTAGGACTCTAGGATAGATATATAGATAGATTGAATCACTGTCACATTTTTGACTTTTCGAGGGGAAGGAATCTAAGAACGAATCTTTTCCACGAAAAATAGGTATGTCACTAATAGTTTGCAAATTACTTGTAATTGTTATTTTTTTAAATTGAGAGGTTACGTTCATAACATACACTAACTCGAGTACTCACCGCAGACACTCCAAAAGTCGCAATTTCATACGATAACATTGTTGACACACAAAAAACACAATAACTCAAGGTATTAAATATTTAACACACCACACACATCACATTTCATATTAATAAAGCAAGATATTAATGGAAAACTTAAAAGTGTGTTAAAATTCGTCTTGCGCATGCAACTGTTATTATACCAATCACCAATGTCACATGGTGACACAGGAAGTGCGGCAACGTCGCCTTATAAACAGAGACACAGGTAATATGTCGCAGGTAGTGGCGGTGTACAATGCAATAATAAAACGACCATCTGACGGTAGAATGTTTAGACGGTTTAATTAATTTATATTAAAAGTTAGTTTGTTTGAACGCGCTAATCTTATGGACTTAGGGTTCTAATTGAAAAATTACTTTTGTGTTTGATAGACCGTTTATTGAAAAGGCTTTAGACTATATAACATCACAGTGCGACCGATAAAAGCGATAAAACATTGAAACTGTAGAAAAACGATTAATTTTGAGGGCTTCTGTTGCATACACTGAGGAATCGGTTCAAGAAACCAAATAATATGTAAGAATTAAAGTCCAAAAAAGAAGAGAAGGTAAAGTTGATGTATCTTGCATAATTGGTCAAAATTACTATATAATTACCACTTGTTTATTAATAATATTAATATGTTGATACAACAACATATTAATGTTTATTTGGCAAATAACAAAACACCGTTTGGATCAGCTGGTATTTAATGAAAACCCAATTAATTAGTCTTATACAACTGATGTTTCTGTTTTGTCATATCTATTCAATAGTATATTTTTTTAAAATTAACTATTCAAGTAGGTACCTAACTAATTTTAGGTAAAGTAATCAAGTAATTTGATAGTTACTGATATTAATATATTTGTAATTACTTAATTATTTATGGCGGAACAATATAACAATAAATCTAGTATTTTTTCTCCAAATCGAATGGCGTTTGTTTCTTCAAGTAAACGACAAGCCATAAAGACATATTTGTAATATGACAACACTATAAGTGCGGCAACGTCGCCAAACGTAAAATGAGATTTAGAATTACCTGTTATTTATCAATGAAGTAAGTAGGATGAATGCATTTCTCAGAAGTGACTCTCTACTTTAAGTTAGTATTAAAATAAATTAAGTTAGTATTCAACTTATATATTGAAAGGGATTTTAAAACTTTTAAGTTTTTCTAACAGTTTCCTTTTAATAATAATAATAAAAAAATCATTTATTTCAAAAGTTGCTTACAGAAATAGAATCTATGAACTAATATTAACTTAATACAAAATATAGAAAGCTTAACAAATAAACAATAAAAATAAATGTCTATGGCAACTCCTAAAACAGGAGCCACTCAGCATAGTGTTACGAACGCACTTTTCTATAAAGTATTTAAGTTAAACACTTCTAACGGTTTTAAATGCGTTATACCTATATTAGTTACAATTTTTTAAATCTCTTTTAATTACAGCCCGACGCGACGCTTCGCTTACTTTGTAGCAGCGTCACGGGATCGAAAGTTAGATAACTTTACTTATACTTTTAAACTTTTTAAACAGTTAAAAGTGTTTTATTTCAATGTGTAATATAGTAACGATTCTCACGATCGACAAAATAAAATAAAAATCTTTGTAATATTTATTTATATCCGATTTCTATAGAACAGGACTGAAGCTCGAGCTGACGCTGCTATACCAGCCCACGTCTCTCTATTTATTTGCGGGATATACTCCGGCGGTACCAGGAATCCATATCGGAAGTCAGGCAGTTCCAAAGTGAGAGAGAATGGTACGCCTAAGTTCTGTAAAAGAAATCAATATCATAGTCACAATCTTCGCCTTTTAATCATATATACTATACAAGTAGGTTTTTACGTATTTTATTACGTAACAACAAATCTGTACTAATATTATAAAGCTAAAGAGTTCGTTTGTTTGAGCACGCTAACCTCAGGAACTACTGATTTGAATTGAAAAATTATTTAAAAAATAATTATATCCGTATTTAAAATAATTTTCAAATAAGTTTAATATTTAGCGACTTAAACGGTTAAGTGTTTTATATAAATGTGTATTACTTGCGTATACTACAGATTTGAAAACTTTTTGTGCTCATCTATTTTGTCGTTATTCATATCATTATAACGAATTGCTCCGTTCATAAACAACGTTACTTAGTATTGCAATGATTCGTTACCTGAGCATAGTCCTGCGACGTGCCCGATGCGGGATACAACACAAACTTGCTATTCCCAACTGCATAATGATAAGCCACAGGTAGCTTAAGACTATCAATATGAGCCCCCATCAAAGCGCCAACATGATGAATTTGCGCCACATTTACCGGCAGAGTCGCGTTATCAAATCCATAGAGGACATAATTTCCAAAACTATGAATATTCACGTATGTCTGTATGCGGTCTAGATACGTGTGAAGTATGTCTCTCAAATGTCGACTCTCGATTTCCGAAAATGGACCAGAACCGTGATACGCCCCGCTGCATGGGTCCTTGGAAGCGTTCATGTCCCCGAAGAATATGTCAAAGTTCCTATTGAGGTCTACACCGTAACATTCAGATAGGGTCGCGTTCAACGATCTGTTCTTTCTCCACATTCTATCCTGTAATAAAAAACGTAATTTGGAAAATTGGTAAATTCATATCATTTTAGAACCTTACCGAGATACCACGGCACGGTGTGGTATGTGACCCTAATCGGTTAAGAGTACTTAGAGATTAAGAGACTTGATGGTGGGTGAAGTACCACAACCATACAACATCTAAACACTGTCGCTGTCCGACACGCAATAGACTCCACGGTTACTAATTCATCTGTGATCGGCGGTAACCCGTACTGAATTTCGATATTCACATCAACCATTTAACTTCCAGATTACCTACCAGACGAAGTCCAACATGTTACAGAAGAATTATATATTGATTTGAAACTTGTTGGGCTTGGTGAGAATCGAACTTATGGCTCGTTGATATTGCTATCCTTACACCAACAAACCCGTCATGTACTGAGGATGCGGTCTGTGTGACGTCATATCGATCTATCGCAAAGGTAAGAAACGTGTTACGCTGTGCGTGGCGTGCTACGTTATGTAGAGATCACAGCTTTAGGCCGTTATAATAAAAATTCAAAATATTCTATTGAGACAACAATAATTACATTCCAGTGTAATAATATTGAAAAAGTAAGGGAAATTTGAAAGTCGTCACGTAAAGTACTTATTTTGATAAAACAAGTAGTAGGACTTCAAATAACGATTTCAACATCCTTACATTGTTTGTGAAAGCAAGCGGAAAATGTCCTAGGTCCAGTTCTGAGAATAACTTGGTAAATATCTCTGTTAATAGACCGAAGAGGAAATGGAACAGATATATGACGCACGTCCCCACTAACTTACATCAGTATGAGAAAACTCGTAACCATCTGGATTTAGCACTGGTAATATTATCCAGTCTATGTTCTCAAGTAGATCTCTATCTGCCTCCTCCAAGTTTTCAACGAGCTTGTGCACGGCATACAAAGCCACCGGTGTCGTCACCCACTCCCTCGCGTGCATTGTCGTATCAAAGAAATAAATTGGCTTGGTTGGATCTTCGAAGTTACTGTTTGATATCTGTAATAATACATTATAACTTTATGTATAATCGGTTTTAATCCACTATTCTTTATATACTTTGATCGCGCAAATTTTACCGTGCATATTTAATCTAAGAATAATTGCCACTAAGGCAAGTTATCACTTAATTACTAACGATAGGTAATTAAAATAATTGAATAACAAATCCTATCTCCAAATTTATAATGCAACAAGTAATTATCGCGATCAGAAAGTTGAATTCAGATAACTGCTACTTCCAAGCAGAGATCAAAGAGTATTCATCTACTCTCATTAGCAACTTGCTAATTACGAATTAAAATCATTTCGCTACGGAACTGTCTCTCTTTACAAAGAAAAGTGGATTTATGGCTCGATTTAATGACGTAGTTTTGTTTCCTAAACAATTGAACTAAGATCTATAGTCTTCATTTGTTAATTGAGGCGTCAAAGTAAAATTTGCCAAGTTCAAAATCGAACGCTGCTTAAGAAGTTGTATAATTTGTACTTTAATACTTTTCACAAAAAAAACGACTCGGGCAATACTTGAACGAACGTCTACAGTGTGCTGTCCCTCTAATGGCTAACCAATCGAGGACTCTGTAGCTCAATTGGTTAGAGCAACAGTACGAAACGCTGTCGATACCGGTTTACGTCCTGCCCGAGTCATAATTTTATAATCGATTTTTAATTTATAAGTTGTTTATGGCTAAAGGTCTAATAAATTGAACAAATACATCAGAAAGCCTGAACAACTAGATGACACTGGCGGACCTTGAACTTACGATCAACAGTGTATTAATTCGCTCTGCATCGGCAACAACACCAAGTCCCGCAGTACGACATGGGTTTGAAGCCCGCCTTTGTATTTTTTTTTAATTTCGTAATACTTTTACAACCTTTATGTGTCTCAAGTATGATAATACTATGAATGTAGACACAAAATATATAGTAATAATATATAGTCGAGCCGATACAATAAATTTAGCTTACTGACGTGGGAAAAGTATCCTTTACCTTTAAGTAATTGATCGGTCGTCCTTCAGTACTCAAACCGGCATTGACCAAAGTCACGATATTTGGATATTGTTGAGCCAGTCTTTCCATATAGGCATTAATCTAAAAGTAAGGAAATGGTAAAAATATATTAGTTTTTTTTCGTATTTTGTATCAAAAATTAAATTTAATGTAAAAATAATTTCGCGCGCTTTTTCTTTTCGCTGTATTGTTTTTATTTGAAAATGTCGTCATTTCCTCGTAAACATGTTATAAAACGTCGTATGACATACGTGCGCTTTGAAAATTACAGCCTCTGCTTTCTTATAGCCCTCGCCGATGGCTCGGGCTAGTAATATCACCTCGGCTGTAATTTTCAACTTACCGCACTTATATCATAATGTACTATAAATATAAAATCCCCCTAATGTAATGAGCAGACGGTGTTGTGCTCATTTCATTATGGGATTTGTTAATAAACATGCAGTTTAAATAAAACTCTTTTACCGGTTTAAATCGACCCGACGTGTTCTTGCTAGTTCCCTCGCGATCACAGCTGTTCCAAAACATACTAAGCGCTGGGTTAAAGTAATTTAATATATCTCGCGTTTTAAACCGTTAAAAGTATTTATTTATGCAGCAAAAAATACTACTAGCCGTGGAAAAGTTAAATAGTTAAGCATGCCATTGATTCGACTTTTATGGCCTGCTCGAAACACCGACCTACCGGTACACTGACATGTCTCAGGCGCTTATTAAAATGGCTTTAAACCAAGGTGGATAAATGGTTCGTCAACGGTTTTATCAAATATAACGATATATTTAATTTTTTTTAAAGTTTCGTATATGTTTCGCCATGTGACGCTGCATATAGGCTATTGAAATTTTACTTAAAACACCTCAGCCAACTCATTACCTCAGCCAACCGCGCGTAATAAGTAAAAGGCTGTTGCACATTGTTGCGTCCTTTACTCCAACGGGAACAATCGCTTTCAAAACTGGATAGGGCTCTAAAACAGAATATAATAAATCAATTACAACTGATTAAAACGCGATATGTTGTTAAAAGTACACAGTCTACGAGTCATTTTTATGTATGTCTAAATAAGAAATCGCCTCTGTAGGTAATTGCCTAAATATATTACCTAGGCTTGCGTTAAGCGCGAGAAGCCTTGGCTTCGAATCCCAGGGAAACAAGAGATTGTTTCGGTCGGGCTGGGCACAATGTCTATTCAAGTTCTTTTCTGTAAATAATACCGATCAATGAAACGAAAAATAGTGCACAAAATAGATATGAAATAGATTTTTTTAATTCCTAAACATATCTATTTCATTATTTTGTATTACTTAATTGAAATATTGATTGAGTGATCTGTTGGTTCAGTAGCATAACTACTCGATTTATATTAGCGAGGTCGGGACTTCGATTTTCGGTCATGATACTTTCTTTTTCGTGACGAAAAAAGTCCTACATGCGTTTGAACTAAAAATTTAACAACAATTTCATCCACCTACTCGTATTTAGTCTTACAACTCAGGCCCTTAAAACTCTACTATTGATTGGAAAAAAATAGTAACTCTTTCAGTATTAGTTATATATAGATGATGTACATGATGTAACTGCTTTGGAGCAGAGCAAGTTTGGTAATGATGAATGCTCTGTTTAAAACCTACATATTAAATGTATTCACACATTATCTCGCTCTTATGAGAAAGATTTGTGTTTCGGAGATAAAACTGCGATCATCTTATCGGTAACGAATTGAATTCGTGCAAGACAAAGGCAATATACCAACGCCATTTATCAGTATAAGGGTATGATCATGTTTTAGCAATGTAATTGGATCGAGCCTCCACAGGAATCACAAACAGGCAGCCGCCTTATGAATTATTGATAAGCATACTTTTGCGTATGTTATCTTTGTAGCTAAACAAGAATTATAGCTATAACACTTTCTCCACAGACTAAGACAATGTGTTTTATCTAAAACCTTAACTAGTGTTAAGCTTCCATTTGACCCTCACCAGATCCAACATTTCTCTAATCTATACTAATAGTATAAAGCTGAAGAGTTTCTCTAAACGCGATAATCTCAGAAACTACTGGTTCGAATTGAAATATTTTTGTGTTGGTTAAAAAATATATTGAGGAGGGCTCTACGACTAAAGGCAGTGAAGAAAAAGTGGACAGTGTGGAAAAAATATTCTTCTTCTAGGGTTTTCGTTGCGGGCGATGCGAAAACAATTCAAGAAATCAAAAAATAATAATAATATCTAGATGATCGAAAAAAAGTCCTTGTTTCAGGATAAACTCGCAAGAACCGTTTGTATGACACTATAATTTGATCTATATTAATGCATTATTTCCAATCGTATTTGTTACAATGGTATTAACATATTAATCTTGCAAACAACAACACATTGTTCTACAAAATATATTTAACTTTGTCTGGAATATCAGGATATTAAGAAGGTAGTGGGGATATCGAATTTCACTAAGCAACATCTGAAGATGAAAAATAATCGCGTATTGTTTACGGTGTCTTCAAGTAATCACCAGACAGGTGTGTTAAAAAAGACTGGCTATACGCGCGCTAGGTGCTATATTCTATTGTGTAATAGCACTTCCCAATATCAATGATCTACAAAGCTGATGGAGTTTCTCATATACATCACTTACCTCCCAAAATAATCTGCTTACCTCACTACATCCGCTTCTTTGACTGAATACTTTAACCCTCGATCAATCAACGCCTTAGTGAAGAGGTCGTGGTTGTGTGGTGGTACCATTATTGTTGCATCACGGGCTGCCAAGGGGCTACCAAATTGCCAAACATCCAATTCTAATAGGTCACCCAATCCTTTTATATATTCGTTATCTTCTTGCGACAGGATTTCGACGTTGTAAAGTGTGTAACTATAAAAATAGGTTTTATAGCGCGAATGGCTTGATTGCCCACTGCTCCAGCGTAAAATTAACTCTTAAGATATATAAGTAAAAATTAAAGAATATAGTTTTTCTTAAATACTGTCTGTAGTTTACGCGAGTAGTACACGTGCTCTACGTGATACAGTCTACCCGTGACCACGGCTGCTGCAAAGCGACCTAAGCGTCGGACATAAGTTAAAAATAATTTTCAAATAAGTTTAACTAATATATGTATATCAAGTTTTAAACCGTTAAAATGTTTTATTTAAATAGTTTTTCTTTCTACTATATTGGATTAGTATATAGCAACACACCAACCTATTGACAAATTTAGTGGGTATCTGATTACAGCGATGGCTCCGTATGACTTTGGTCGTGGGTTCCAGTCCCGCTTGAATTATCGATTTATTTAATCATCTTCAATCAATTAGAGCTTAAGTCTTCATCAAGTGCTTCATGTTCATCAGCTTTTCAGTGAATTGTAGGGTATTTACAAAAAACTAAACACAGCCCAACTAGTGACGGTCCACTTTAGATAATAAATAATATATCATTTTTTTAGAAACACAGTTGAATGTCTGTTTGAATGATGAAGGTATGTGTAGCCTTCAAGATCATATATACGTCATGTTTCCTTAAGAAATTTTGCAATCTCACTTACCCTGTATATTTTTCATGTTTACTAGCGGAAACATGAAATAAATATATTAAAGAAATCGCTAATATCTTTAAATCCATACTCGCACCTGAACAACGTAAAAATCACTGTCCTATAATGAATAATCATGTAATTACTAATTACAGAAGATAAAAGTACTTATCGGTATACGTTATCACTTCCCGATTAATAGTTAAAAATTTTGCGTTTTGAAAAAATATTATTTTAACAACAAAAATAAAATTAAAGACGGGTTATATAGTGGTAGCAATGTATATATTATATTTTAATAACTCATCGTCGTGGCTTCGATTATTTCTGGGCATCTCTGTAACTCATTATCCGATTTCTCTAACATGTTAAAATTCATCTGGAAAACCTCAAATTGGACGGTTCTCCACAGATTATAACGTGAAGTGTAAATCGTCGTTATGGCATTTTGTACCACTTGAACCAATTTTGTCTGTTCTCCTATATGAGTTAATCTTAAAAGATACGCATATATTGTTGTGAACTTTATTTTAGATCATTATAATTTTTTGGGTGAACCGTTTTCGCAACGTACCAGAAACTCACAGAGATGAATAATTTTCCCGTTTTTCAAACATTTCCCGCTGTTCTTCTAGTTATATTAGTGTCAGTGCAATGTTTTATGACCAACACAAAAATAATTTTTCGATTCCAACCAGGAGTTCCTAACACTAAACAAATAAACAAACTTTTCAGCATTATATATTAGTGTAAAAACAATACAGTCTTGTAACTCTCTGAAAAATCTTAACATGTATGAGACTCGTAAATTCGTCATGACCTCATAAACTCAAAGTTGGACAACTTTGAGTTTATGAGGAAAGAAAGAAAGAAAGGAAAGAAAGGGTCATAAACGTAACGGTACGACTTCTCTTGTTTATGGTTCTTAGGAGATAACAAGATGTATACTAGGACACGTTGGTATAATGGCGGCAATTAACGGGTCGTGGGTTCTGTTCCCACCGGTATAAAGTGTCTTTAATCAATTCAAGTCGATATTTCGAGTCTGGAAATCTAGATATTAAATGGCTGGTAGGACTACCTTAATTCCGTCTGCGTCAATATCACACATTTTTTAATACAAAGCCAAAATATATACGCCGACAGCACATCTTGTTTATATGTTAGGTTTAGCTGAATATATCGCCTTCCAATAAGTGAACTCTGTCTCTACTTATATCATAAAATATATTTACTTTATAACTACTTTTTTGAGTTTGTTACTGCTTTAACGTTCACACAACGGTGTGAACGTTGAGCTCAACTCATAGACTCCTTACATACAAAGTTATTTATTATTTTCGACAAATTGTTTTTGTTTTTCCAGTGGTTTAACATGAATTTAAGCAGTTTTGCTTTTCATATTTTCATTTAGAGAGTATTACGCGATTGAAGATTATATGAATAATGTCTACATATCTTATGTTTCCAATACGTTCATAAACCAAGAGAACATGTGCTACTAGTGTGGGAACTAGTTAATTTGTTTTATTAGAGCAAGTACACCTCGGCTCTCGATCGAAGCCTAAGACTTATCGACACGTTTTTAAGGTGATGACACACTAGTACAGTTAGAATAAATTGTTATATATATCGCTTTAAGTTACTAACAGCACTTTTTTTTGTTGGAGTATTAATAAATATTACACAATGTTTATGAGCCTTTACATATCTACCAATAACTGTCATTTACGGTAAAATACTGTTTTCCCATTTAGGGGCATGGGACAGATTCATTTCTGTGTCTATTATAGGAATCGGTTTTATATATAACCAAACAGTTTGTTATTGGTTTCCCTAGGGATCCAACCCAACCCGCGTTTTAGGCAACGCGTTTAACTATTTAGCAACTGTCAAATTGTAGGCCGCAGTTTAAAATATATCCTAATACATTTCGCGTTTAAACCGTTAAAACTGTTTTATTTTATATTTCATTATTTATTAGCATTTTTTAGTAAAACTAAAGACATCAAAAAAATAACATTATTATTGTATGTAACCAGCCTTATATTTAAGAGCGATTGCTCACCTAATTTATACCCTCATAATAACGACCAGCTCGCTACAATTTTCTCCCTCCACGGATGGCATATTTCCGTTTTCCCACCCAATATAGCACAGGCTTAATTTTTCCAATAACACTAAGAATATTCTCGATGAAGATTAACTAATATTGTGACTTTCAACCATATTTTACCGTTAATGTATGTAATTCGGTGTTTTATAAAACTACTACTTAACACAGGGAATCTAAAACGTGTTAAGTGCTTAAAAGATAATTATCTTATCTTAATCTAGACAAATCTCGGTATTTTCTACAACAGGAGCATATGGTGGTTTGAAACAAGTGAACAAGAAGGAGTCACGCCTATTATATTGTGTATTGAATTTGAATACTAGACTTAGATATTTGTCACGTAAATTTTTATGCATCATCTATAATTTAGTTTAGTAGTTTACATTTTTATACATATTTAAACTACGGAATAGAATTATGACAAACTTAATATCCTAACTGATAAGGTACATACATGTATTATATTTCGACCTAGCGTCACGCTAAAAAATACATTCGGTATAATTTATACTAACATTCTATAGCTAAAAAGTTTTTTGTTTGAACGCGCTAATCTCAGGAAAACATTACACTGTGACTGATAAGTAAGAAACAGTGGGAAATGTGGAAGTAACGGGGAAAATCATTCGTGTTTAAGGTTTTCCGTTGCGGGCGCTCTGAAAACGGTTCAAGAAACCAGAAAATATGAAAGAATGATTCCTTTCTAAATGGCCTAAAAATGTCCGCGGCATTGTCTATTGTCTAAGATTAACTAACACGAAGCGTTTTAGTGATAATCAGGCTTCGTCGAAATATTTGACATGGCAAAACAACGTTTGTCATGTCAGCTAGTACTGAAATATAAAATAAATAAATAAAAAATATAATTTTTGAGAAATAAGTCAATTAATCGTCAATACTGCAAGGACCCGGCCATTAATATCAACAATATATACCAATATCAACAAGGCATACCAACTTCGACGGAACAGATGGCGCTAGCGTAGCAGTTTTTTTACTTTGACGTCAGAGACATCCTCCATCTTTAGTCTCCCCGTGACCACGGCTGCTGCAAAGCATCCGAAACGTCGGGCCGAAGTAAAAAATAAACAAATATGTTTAACTAATATATATTGCGTTTTAAACTGTTAAAGTGTATTGTTTAATTTAAAATTGCTTAGCTTATTCATGCACAGTTTTTTCCTGCGATATTATTTTTCACAACAAACAGCGACAAATCGAATTTGTCTATGGCTTCGGGATCGACGAATACCCGTGTTATCTTGACAAAGTTTATGTTCTATGGTTATTTATTGGTACTCAGCTGGGAAATTCTATTGAATTCTATTAAACTTTCGAAGCGTTTTCTAAGTTCGCTGCAAGTTATGGCGATAAATTGGACTTATCACAGTGATTTGCAGAAATTCTTAAAAAGTAGGACTTAGGATTCCTTGAATATGCAGAGCAATGTAAAAGACTTTAAGATATTTATTAAAACTCAGTTTAAATAACAGACAGTATTTACAGACAGTTTAAGCGAGTGGTACACATTTAAATAACACTTAACGGTTTAAAAATAATAAATATCGCGTTTTAAACTGTTAAAATGTTTTATTTAAAATTCAGTTTGTAACAGAAATGCCCAATATTTTGGTAAACACATTTCATAGATTTCATCATATTTCTTTCTATCAATGCGAAAGTTTTTATTCGCATTGAGGTGTAAATTGATAGTAGTGTTTTAGTAGCTAAATAGATGGAAAATTAATATTTTCTTGGAAATTTGCTAGGTACACAGTTAGTTAAATTTCCCAAAAAGGTATTTCATCAAATTCGATTATTTTTTTGCATTTCACCTTACATCAAGTTACCCACAGTTCTATCTCCTCTTCTGTTGTACCTATACTAATATAATCTATAGAATCGAAGAGGTTTATTTGTTTTTTAAATGCGCTAATCTAGGGAACTACTGGTTCAAATTGAAAATGTATATATATATAAAACCTCGCGCTGTGACTTATAGGAGCGAAGAAACAGCGGCTAATGTGGAAAACAAGGGGGAAATTATACATCTCCGTGGATTTCCGATTGCGCAATGTCCGCGACACTATATGTCTATAAGATGAAAAGGTGGTTTGCAAAAATAAATTTGGATGCTCAAATTTATATTACTATTCTACGCGAACGAACTCGCTGACACAGTAAACTATAAATGAGGAAGTACAATAAGATATTATAAAGACTGTGTTTTACAACAGAACTAGTCAGCTACAGTTGTTATTATCTACCCTTACTAAAAACAAAATTTATAAGCAGATGCTCCTCTACCCTTGTCTGCCTTAATAATCCTTTATAAAGTGACAGCTTTAATTTCAAATTGGATTTCAAGTCTGACCCTCACTAATCTTCATTAGAATACAATAAAAGATTATTGTATTTACGAATTAAAAATTATAAGGGTTAAAAATCTTAATAAACACAATAACATATATTTTATTATAAGACTAGCTGTGCCCGCGATTTGGTCTGTGATAAATAGTTATTATGGACGTGAAATTTGTTGATCTTAACCTTTCCTTTATAAACTATAGCTGTTATCTACGACGTCCTCCGCATCTCGACGTTCTCGCAATTGAATCCTAAACGCTCCTATTGGTCGAAGCGTGATGTTTTATGAGATTAACAAGGTCAAACAAATAAACTCTTTAGCTTTTTAATATTAGTAGAGATATGTACTGTATTCTCATTTATTTACGTTTAAATCTTCATACGATGTATACTCATTATTACATCGAAACCTATGTTAAACATTACAGTTCCTTAAAGTACATTAAAATATAATGACTAAACGAATAGGAAATTGAAAACGGCATATGTTACGTTTATAAAACATTTTATTTTAACGAAACGTCCAACCACGGTGTCTACTTGTTAAGCCTTTCGTTATAAAATAGCTTAATCATTCGAGCTGACTCCACAATACCAGCCCAGGTCTCCACATTAATCTGCTCTATATACTCTGGTTCCACCAGGAAGCCATACTCGTAGCCAGGAAGTTCCAGGGTGTAGGAGAATGGAACGATCATCTGAAGAAAAGGTATTAATTTAAGAATTACCTTTTACATTTTACCAAAACTGTATCTTAGTTACTATAATATTTTAAAAGGTTTAACATGCACAACATATCTATAAATAATTATTAATGGTAAATTATAATACTATTAAAACGTTCCCTGGCAGTTGTTAATGTAATTATTATTAGTCAATAAACATACAAATTTTATTGCATTATATTTAACAGTATTGCACTGTTAATTAAACACTTGAATATTCAATTTAAAACTTATTTATTTAAAAGTGAAATGTATTGATCATGAAGTCATTGATTCGATGACCAGTTGAGCTCTTTCGACTGCACAAGCCTGACGAAAAATATTTATCCATCCAAAATTTGTCATCATGTATACATCTGTACTTGGAGGAGACTGAAGTTGAAAGCTATTTAATTTCTGATGACGATTACTTAAATATAATACACAAGCATGGTGTTAACTCGATGGTAGGTTTTCAGGTTACCCCAACAATATAACATCTTATATCGATCCTATTTTGGCTTAGGATATACGGAATTCTATCCTTACCTGTCCATAATCCTGAGCGCTTCCAGAACTATGATACAGCACTAGGTTACTATTTCCCACAGCGTAGTAGTTTGCCTTCGAAAGTTTCTTTACATCTATATGAGCTCCCATAGACGCCCCCACCTGATGTATTCGAGCAACATTTTCTGGAAGGGTGGCATTCCCGAAGCCATATAAAATATAATTGCCGTAACTATGTATGTTTAAATATATCTGAATTCTGTCATTCTCTAGCAATATATCTCTAACATATCCCGTCTCGGGTTCAGAGAAGGCCTCGGGGCCAGGATAAACGTCTGAACAGGGATCTGAAGAAACGCCAACTGTATTGAAATTGACGTCAAAATTCCGGTTACCGTCGACGCCGTAGCACGTTGCGTTGAGCTCTGGGCGATAGGAACGAGTGCGGCGCCAGAGACGATCCTAGATGTATGATAATAAATTGTTAGAATACATACTTTTTATTGTATGTAAGGAAGTTTATTTAAATTATATGTATATATATATATAATTTATAGTGTATATATATATATTACATGAGGAACACCCTCGATTTTCAGTCCCTCCGTGACCAAAGCTGCTCAAAGAATCCGAAATGTCGGGCCGTAGTTAAAATATATTTTAAATAAGTTTAACTTATTTATTTTTCGTTTAAAACCGTTAACATTATTTTATTTAAAATATGTTGTTGTGATTATAATGAAATTGCAACAAGCTTTTTATGTGATTATACTCTTACTCATTTAACAGAAAATGTGATGATTGAATATTATTTGTTCATATCCTTCGACACAAGCTATTATTTCTTTTGCAGTACTTACAGTAGTGTGGGAATATTCATAACCATCTGGATTAACGATTGGCATAATAATCCAATCTATATCATCCAGTAGATCTCTTTCTTCACCCCTTAAGTCTTCAACCAGTCGGTGTATGGAGTAGAGTGCGACAGGTGTCGTCACCCACTCTCTCGCGTGTATCGTAGCATCCATAAAGTAAATAGGTTTATTGGGATCTGTGAAATTTGACGTTGATATCTGGAATGTTAAGAGTAATTTTGTTTAGTGATATTTTCTTTTTGTTTATGTTACTAGTAGTCATAGAAATATGTACCTTTAAATACTTGACGTCTCTCTCTTCAAAACTAGGTCCAGCGTTCACTAAGGTAACAATATCTGGATTTTCACTAGCAATTCTTTCTAAATATTCATTGACCTGTAAAATTATATATTAAGAACTCATTTTCTCTATTTTGACATTATTATTATAGTATGTTGGTTATTTTTCTATACCTGGGCATACGTAGGATAGTCATTAAAAGGCAAAGCTTTATTTCTTTGCATTTTGTAGCTAGTCACTTCTTCCTCGTGTTTCTCCAGTACCCTAGAACATGTAATAAATAAATGATGGTCATCAACTATTAATAGATATCGTCACTTACTTTTTACAGTTAATGATTTTTTTTTTTACATCAAATATCAAGGGTGAAATACCATATGTAACAAGAGTGGTGTCGATTTTATTGCTCTAATAGTCTTTCTGGATGTGTGGAGAATACTTACTCAACAACATCATTAATTTTTCCATAATATTCAATGCCATGTTTATCAATTTCTTCAAAAAACAATTGTCTATTGTTTGGGGTCGTCATTACGATAGCATCCCTCACCCCGGGCATGCCACGCCGCCAGATATCCAGATCAAGGTCAACCTCTAGATTTGACAGGATTCGAAGATCTTCAGTGTCGCGTAGAACCAGCCCATATACTGAACACCTAAGCAACAGACGATTGTGTTAGTATTGCTGGGCGTAGGTCGAAGATTCGAGTCCCGGGTGTGCCATATTTTACTCAATAACATACAATTTTGAGCTCTCACAGGCTACGGACATGTTACGGATTCAATCCAATTACTCCCTTGTCTTCTGCGGCTTTATGCTCCTGACAAATACATTCGGTCTCGTGGGCATCAACTTTTGGCCGAAATGCGATTGCGTACAACTCTACGCAAGCAATCGCCTATACCGCGCATGATATCACTGCTCAACAAATTTCTTAATTCTGCACCAGAATGTGACATATTTGTGTGAGGGTTGGGAAAGTTAGGAGATGAATGCGGTTCTTAGATAACTTAGACTAACTTATAGTTTAATATATCTATTAATATAAGACTATTAATATAGTTAAATATTATTAATATAAGACAAGACAAGACAAGACAAGACAGTAATATGAATCTAGACAATCAACTTTATGAATTGAATTTTACATTCCAAAAAGTTGGTATGTTTTTTGTTTGAACGCCCTAAAAATGATCACACTTGAATCATCTTTTTATGTTGGATAGAACAATTATAAAAGGTAAAGTGGTTAGAATATAGAAGAAAAATCTAAGATTCGAGTCCCAAATGTGACGTCATTTTTTACTTAATAACAACCAATTTTGAGATCTCAGGAAACCACCATCTTTATCTTTCAAAATAGAAATGTATTTTTCGCATGTCATTTCTAGAATACAAAACTTCATTTGACAAATATTAGAAATAACGATATTTACCCCTCATAAAGATCATGTTTCCCACTCCAAGCTAAATTAAAATTCACAAATATTAACAAAAATAACAATTTCACATCCATCTTGGACTACTACAATTAAAGTATGCTATCACCATTATCGCTAGACGTTAATTTTTACCTAAATAGATTAGTAATCTCTTTAAGATTACTGGTGTAATAAAAATAATCAAATGCATTAACTTATTTCAACTATCTATAACATTAATAAATAATAGTGAATTTTAATACGATAAAATATAACACGAAATTCCTTATTTATATTTTGTAAAAGATACTAATATTATAAAGAGAAATTAGCTTTTCAGAATAGAGCAGAGTTATTTTTATAACACACTAATTGTGACATTTGTATTCTGAATATATATAAAGATTAAATAAAACAATTTTAACGGTTTTAATCGCAAAATATACTGTTATGGACTGCAAAGCATTGGGAACGGGTCTTAGTTAAAAATTATTGTAAATATGTTAACTTATATATTTCGCGTTTTTTACTATTAAAAGTGTTTTATCTAACTGTGTACAACTTAAACAAACTCTGCAAAGATCGCCTCTATAGCCAAACTGTTAAATATGTTGCATAGCATTGCGGTAAGCGCGAGAGGCCCTGAGTTCGAATCCCGGGGAAACGTATGATTATTTTGGTCAGGTAGGGCAAAGAAGTTTGATTAACTACTAAGCAAATATAACTAATTAGTGAAACAGTTACAAAAATGTCTTCGACCTAATGTCCCACGGTGGCAAACAGAATTTCACGTTTATAGTCGCGTCAACTACAGACAGTATTCACATCACGAAGTCCTTAGCATCCAGTATAAACTCATACATAATATTATTTATTAATTATACATAAGCCAATAAATTTTTAACTTGGATGATGAACTCGTCATTCATATTTATGTATTCTTAAATTTCACTTATTACTTTTATTGGCTTTTCTGTACATTTGGTGAAAAACAAAACAAGTTGTAAAACTGTAATCTGATCGCGTTAAAATCATTAAACACGAAATAAATTGAAGCGTAGGTTAGTGAACTTTAGTAGTTTAATTTCCATATAGGATGATTGGTACATAGACTTATGATAGAGGAGTACAGACAAGCATACGGCTCACTGGGTGGTGGATGAAATACTCCAGCCATCCAACCATCTAAACAAGATAGGCTGTCAACATATTTTGGCTTACGTTATTCGGAACTACACAGACTGTAACCGAAACGCGACTAACTAACTTTTTCATCAGCGGGTGGTGGTTCGTGACTCGGATGTAATTTCGATATTCCTACATTTAACATCCAGATTTCCAGACGAAGTCTAACATGTTTCGCAAAAATTATAAATTGATTAGAGAAATGTTTGATCCGGTGGGCATCGAAGCCACGACCCGTTGGTTATTAGCCATACATTACGTTGTCAAGTTTACTTCTTGTCAATGTCCGGTAACTACTTTAGTGACAAGGATTAAAATAACACCAACGCATTTATTAATTCTAGCATTTTCTTAGAGTTTAAAGGATAAGGTATAAACTTATTTTAAAAGTTGGAGGAGTTTCGGCGAGTCCGCAGCGACTTACTTCAATCCTTTAAGTAACGCTGGCAATCCTAAGTGTACTTTAAGTTTTCACTAGAATACTTTTGTTTTCCTCTTCTAATTTCAAAAAAAAAGGATAAAATATATTACTCACTTACTAATTTAATATAAAATATGTTGTATTTGGCAATTCGAAATCCATCAAGAAAAAGTTGAAATAAAGGAAAAAACTTAGACAAAAATATATTAAAATTCAGACAGCCTATATCTATTATTTATTATGACAATATTTTTTCAACTAATCGTAGCTTACAGGAGTATTATTCCTTAAACATTTAACTTAATTAAAGGTATTTGTAGTCGTCTGTAGTTTACGCAAGTAGTACACATTTAAACAAACAAAAAAACACTTTTAGCGGTTTTAAACACGAAATATATAAGTTAACTGATTTAAAATTTATTCTAACTTCGGTTCAACGTTTTGAACATCACCACCACCACAAACAAGTCGACTAATATATTTCACGTTTGAAACTGTTAGAAGTGTTTTAATTTGTTTTGTTTAAATGTTTATTACAGCATAAAGTACAGAGTGTATACAACTATACTTATCTTTAATTATCGTATTAAATAGGATATATCATTTAGCGGCGAGATCAAGAAAATAATAGCTTCTATATAGCAATAATACACAGTTCCGTATTTTAATACTCACAGTTATTTAAATTAATTGGGTCCTCAACTACGTGATTGTAACGTGATTTTCTTAAAGCGGCACAAGTGTTGCAATTCTTCACCAACTGTCAAATGTCAAGAAGCGTCATTTGTCAAATTGTCACCGGCTACGGGAGAGCCTTCTCCGTCCTGACAGGCAAATGTGGACGGACATTAACGTCTCTTTAAGGTTAATGCTTCTTTGACTATTTCGCTTGTTTTTGCTCATATTTATTTAATTTCATTGTTCGATACAAATTCTATGCGGAATGCTTCGTCGGCCATAGAGGTTAGAATTCTATATTAACATTTATAATTTGTATAATTTAAAATACAACATTTTACATATGCTTTTAATTGACGAGACGTAACAAAGCAAATAATCGTTTAATTTTAGTTTTTTGGTTGCATTTTGAACTCGTGAATCGTATAGTGTAAAAACTTTTTTACACATAGCCTACATCAATTATTTTTGTTTCCGCCGCGCACGCAATGAAAACCCTTAAAGATAATTAATTTTCCCGTTTTCGCCACATTTTCACTAATTTTGCGCTGCTATCGGACGCAGCCTGAAGTTTTATAGCTTTCCTTAACCAGCAGCAACAAAAACTGCAAACTCCTCAGCTTTCTAATATTAGTATAGATTTCTTATTCAGAAATAACAATGTAAGAACTTATCTTTTGTTCTAAGATATTTATCATATTATACATCATTATATTTTGACTATATCGAAATTGGTTGAAAAAAATCGACGATCACGTGTAGGACTCGGTAGCTCAATTGGTTAGAGGAACAGCACGGAACGCTGTGGATTTAGTAAATTTTTGGCCATATTTATTTCGTTGGAACGTTTGTACCCGGATCGTGGCTTCCAACATCTTCCTTCCACCTTAAATGTACCCAATCTCTATTCAAGGCTTTACATCAGTATTCCAGCGTGAGTAGCACAGGCTTTGATTAAAGCGCGTATTAATCATTCATGTGCAACCAAAACTGACACACTTTCAGTGTTCACAGACACGGCCTATTTTCTATTAAGCCTCACCCATTTTCCTTTGCATCTCCTCTGAATGGGCTGAAAGGTGCCAGTGCCAGTCTTGCTGCGCTGTTTGAATAGGACCTTTTAGTGTTAGAGATAAGAAAAATGCCGGTGGGAACAAGGGCTCAAAACGAATACATTTTGGAAGTGTGTTGGCCCCAATTTTTGAGTTAGGTTTTTTGCGGCCCCAGCGCCAATATTGATATATAAATATTTGTAATATAGAAAAAAAGTTCAATAGAATTTATTTCGATAACAAAAATCTTGCAGTATTGTGTCAGAGAATTTCTGAAAACTTTTATACATTCAAATTTTGTGCAATAAATTTTTTACTGATTTTTAAAGTTGAAACTCCTTTGATTTCAAAATAAAATAAAACCCTTAAAGATGAAGTAGACAACAAAGAACAACTCGGTAGCTCAATTGGTAGAGCAACAGCACTGAACGCTGACGATGCCGGTTCAAACAAATCGGTAAACAACAGAATATGAGAAACATAAAAATAAAATTAGACTAAGATAAATGAAGGATCACTTTATTACCTTTACTTTAACATATTTCCTATATTTTATCATTTAGATAGATGCTTATGTTTATTACCATACATGAAGTTTACATTATAAACATTTATGCCACAACAAAGTTTAAAGTATACAAACACTAAGACATGGAATACCTATGGATACAAGGAAAATCTTAAAATAAAGGATATCCCTTAGCTGTTGCTACAGTGCTGATTTTCAGTGTTGCTCCATGTTTACGCAAGTGACAACAGGTCACCAACATGAATGTGAATCCGTTTCCTGTCTGTTCTCTTCTGTTATAAAAAATAAGTTCATAACTGTGCTCAGGTACCCTATAAAATGGTATTTATTTTAATAATGGTGTAATGATAGCAATCTGTGGATAATAGTCGTGGGTTTGATTCCCACCAAGTCCAGCAACCAAAATTCGTTCCAAATCAATTGTATTTTTCTTCTGGAAATATGGATATGAAATGCGTGTTAGAAATATCGGAATTCCGTCCGGATAACGAAGTGAATATCCAAAGCGAAAATAGGACGACAGCGCTTTTGTTTAGATGTTTTATGACCTACCATCGAGTGAAACCCATGCTCTTCTGTCCTCCTCTATCATAAAAAAATCTTAAATACTGTCTGTACTTACTGTACTTTACGCGAGTACACATTTGAATAAAACACATACTTGAAACTTATTTGAAAATTATTTTAACTACCGCCCGACGTTTCGGATGCTTTACAGCAGCCTACACCACGGGTCTATTAGAGCCGTAGTTAAAATATTTTTTATTAAATAAGTATAACTAATATATATCGCGTTTTAAACTGTTAAAGTTTTATGTAAATAGAAGATCTTGTTTGTTTTAGCATCGCAATTTACTTACGATGTAGGAATTTCCAGCAAGCCATGTCCGTAGTTTCAGATTCAGCAATTTGCTAACCAATTAGGAGAGTACTTGAATGCCCCTGTTAAGAGATCGTGAAACGTAAATTAACTGAATACGGTTCCACTGTGGTCGGCTTACTTCCAGCTTATTGAGATCGGGCAAGTACCGATCTGGATCACTTTACGAGATCAGATGTGCTATTTGTGTAATAATATCGCCAAGTGCGAATGGACGCGAAACAAGGGAGTATTACTACTTACTTACTTATAAGATACCGTTTTTAACCCCATAGGTACGGAATCCTAAAATCGCGATTAAATTGGTACTAAAATTAGAAACACTCATAAATTATTTCTATAGTGGCACT